CCAATGTCAATATTAGAAATGTGAAGTGGTCAGGTGAAAAGAGTACTTGTAGCTTCCTGGCAGAATATTTTGACCTATTAATACCTTTTCTGGAGAAATGCTTTATTGCACTGGACTTCTATTTCAGTTGTATATGATGATAAAGGGTATTTCTGTTATTCTCTCCTTCGGGTTTCATGGAGCTATGCTTTTATCAGTTGTCAAGGAAACACCAGTTTTCCTCCTTTGCTCATTAATGTCTGCATTTTTGTTTCCATAGCTACAAAGGAATCTTGGTATTTTAAAATAGCAGTAATGAGACTACCATGACTTTTTTAAAATTTATTGGCACCATTAATGGCTCTGATTTTCAAAAGCAGACATGAAAACTGTATCAGCAGTTTTTTCAGCTATTAATGTTTGGTATCCTCTTGCCTTCAAATACTATGTACAAGCTGAAAAAAATTCTTCAACATCTAACCACTCACTTCATCCAGAATCAGACTCTACACATGGCACTCCAGCTTATGCCACTGAGTACTTACAGGAATGGGCAATCTGTTTTATTTAAATGCAACTTTCTGTCTGTAATAAAGTGTACGCAAAACTGTGGAGATAATTTTCCAGGTTCTTTCTTCTGTTTCAAGTTACTAAAGAGTCCTTAAATAATCACAGTGAAATGTAACAGCACAATTTTAATTGAAGTTTCCATGACCATGTCTATATTGAATTAGCATCTGTTTGGCATTAACTGAATTTCCAAATACCTGTTCCAAAATGCCCTCATCTTGACTAAAAGTATGAGCTGACATTACTGAAAACAGTCTCCTTTTTAGTTGTATTAGTTTTAATTTCAGAGGGGAAGCTGTGCAGAAGTTCTACTACAAATCTGCTAGGTGTTAACCCCATCATTTATGATATTACCGATACTTGGTAAATTTGACTGCAGATGAATAATTTGCGGGGACTTTTACAGCCAAATGTCTAGCACGCTCAGGATACAGGAACGTGGAAAAAAGCACAAAGAATCCTTCTCCTCTGCAACATCTGTACAGGAATGAAATCCAATCCTCCTTAGTGTTAAACACGGAGCTAATCGTCTACATTAGTTTAAAGCAATAATATTGTCGTCACCCTCATTTTCAAACTAACTGGCACCAAGGCTGACTCCTGGTAAAAAAGAACAGTTTTTGTCTGTATTACCTCCAAGGTATAAAAGCACTGTGCATTCCCCTATGCTCCTCTACAGATTACCTTCAGAAATTGAAACTAATAAAATGTTTTCTTACACTTTTAAATCCCACTACAGATCTAGCAGACCCCTTTTGTACTGAGTAGGCCAAATACTGTATGTAGGG